GTTTATTATTGAAATTTCATCTTATTCATAAAGATGAATTATTTTCATTTTTATCTATTAATTGAGATTATTCAATTATACGTAAGTTATAACATCGAATATTTTAATAAAATCTTTTTCATTGATTTAATTATGAAAAAAATCGTTTATTATTAAATAATAATAATATACTTGTAGAAACCATTTTTAATATTAATTTGTTTTCATTGAGTATTTATCGAAAATTAAACAAAATAATTTTTATTTTTACAATTTTCCCTACAAAAAATCAAGTAATACTATCTTGGATAGAGAGTGAAGAAAGGTTTTCTGCCTTGCCACTGTTCCTCTCTTCCTCATATCCTAGACGTAAAGTTGACTCAATAGAGATCTCGACGAAATACTTGAACTACTGTAAAAACCTCGAAAAAAAGTTCTCAAAAGATAAAATTTCGAAAGAGGAAAATCTCGAAACTGAAAATCCAGAAATTTGAAATGTCGAAAAATTATGATTTCGAACGGTTAAAATTTCGAAAATCGAATCTCGAAAGATGTCATTGTGTTTTGCAGTCACTTCTATAATTTCCGTAGTGTAGAAGTTGAAAACTCACTTGCACTCGACCCATTATTTACGACTATTCAATTATTCCACTACTCAACCTTTCAACTTTTCGACTACTCAGTCATTCGGTTAGTCTTCTCCTTCATCACCCTCACTGCCTTCTCTCTGTCTCTTTCCCACCCTCATTTTGACCCTTTATCTTTCTCCCCTATCACCCACCCTCACAGTGGCTCCCTTTCATCTTTCTCTTCACCTCACCATCATGTTGACTTCTCGCTTCTCTCCCCCCACCTTCGCATAATCTCCTACGAATATTTGAATAAGTGAATACTCGGTTGAAAAGTCAAAACTAATTTTTGACTTCTACATGTATGATCTCACATTGCAATTAATTCGAGATTTTTTTCGAGCTTTTCACACATTACCGAATACTTTGTATCATTTTGTAATATGAAGAAATAGTTATTAAATTGAAATTCTATTATGATGATTGATTCCATTATAGTCTTAAATAGATTGTTATATATGAAGACAAAGAAGATGCCATATTATGAAATATATCATATCTAACGTAAAAGTTCTCACATCATTGTATAAATATGTTCTTCTAGCAGTTTAAGGGTAGCGCCTCTCTTTGTTTTAATTTTTCATTTTCGTCGAAAAAATTCGAGGAAAAACGAAAGAAATAAAAAAGATAATTTTTTTTTAATATTTGAATTGAATATCTCAAATAGAAATTTCTATTTTTTTTAGATAAAAATGATAAGTAAATTGGAAATATTTCCAAATGAAATCTTTATAAATGTCTTTTCCTATTTATCATGGGATGAACTCTTAATATCATTATGGTTATTAAATAAACGTATTAATTCTCTTATTTGTTTTATATTTTCAATGAAGAAAAATGGAATTGTTTTAAATGATTTAAGTTTAACTTATAAAAAATTTTCTAAAATATTATTACCATTAATATTAAATTCATCATCACTTTCTTCTAATATAAAATATATTTATGTTAATGGAATTAATTCAATTTCTTTTGATTTTATTTATCAAAAGATTTTTTATGATGATAATAATAATAATAATAAACAAAAAATTCCTTTTCCTAATCTTAAGTCTCTTTATATAACTCAATGTTTATTATCTGAACGATTACTAGAAACATTATCTTTTCTTATTCAATATAAATTAAATCAGCTTACATTAACTTTTCATAAAGAAGCTTACGTGAATTTTGATTATGGAAAAGGACTTCCAACAATCATTTCTAATAGAGGTAAACAACAAATATTTTCTAAACTAAAGAAGATTTAAATTGTTCGTCCTGTCTAATGATGCACAAAAATGAGGATAAGTCACTCTTAGAGAAGTACACAGAGCAGCAAGAAACTTCTGTACGTTAATCAATAATTTTCTTCGATTTTTCTTTTTTGATTTTGAAAAACTTTCTAATCTTAATCTTAATGAGTAATAAGATTCATTATATGACGTTTTCTATATTTAATTTGGTAGTTGTTAACAGAGGTGCAGAATCTACC